TCCCGTCGGCGGGCCGGGGCCGGGGCCGTTCCCCTCCCCTCGGTGGAGTGCGGGTAGTGGTGTCGTGCCCGTTGTCTTCCTCCGGCGGAATCCGGGGCTGAGGAGGGTCGTGGTGCGTGTCCCAAAGCCATCGCTGATCTGCAGTCCTCGAGGCAGCCGGGGAACGGAGTGACTGGCTGGAGAGGTACTGGGGAGATTTGCCAGAAGATATTCTGTCTCTTATTTCACTTTATATTGATTTGTTTATTTAAAAAAAAAAAGTTAAGCAGTTTCACTTAACGCTCTGCCAGGCACAGAGAGCTTTTCTCTGGCTTGAAACCCTGTTTCTGCAGGGTTGCAGAGCTCCGTGTTGCAGCGATGTGGCTCATATGCTTGCGCTGTGCGTGCTGCTGGCATTTCTAAAAGAGATGTTCTCCCCCTGCTCTATACTAAACATACTGGCTTTTGAAACCGTTGGAGAATTAACATTTACCCATACTCACTCTCATGTTCCACTTGTGTGTGTAGAAGTGTATGTACAGTTAAGGAAACTTGGCTAGAGGGGTTAGAATATTTTAAATGTAACATTTTGAGAGTATTGCTTGAAAATTGTCGTTAATCAGAACATGAGAACTCAGATGGCATCCAAGCGATCTAATTAAAACTTCACTGTCATTTCAGTCAACAATGTGGGAACTTCATATGTTTATCCTGAATATTTTCTTGATGTTCCAGACCTGGATAAGGTAAGTGTTTTTGCGGTACCTTCTGGTGTTCTCGTTAGCACTAAATGCTTAAGGGATATGGCAAAAGTATTTAGGTTTGGTTAAGGTATCCCATAACAAAGTGTTCTGATTAGAATTAAGGGTTCAAAAAAGCAGAGAGATTTACGTAAGCAATGTAGCACAACTCAGATGATGGCAGTCTTGGGTTTTTGTGTTGTGTTTTTACAGTCTTCCCTGCTTCTTCATTTTATATTTCTATTTCAGAGAGATGCTCTGGGGTCAGTATCTGAACTCCACTCCTGTCTGTGATCTCATCTGGCTGTTGTTCATGAGCTGCTTTAGCTCGTGGTGGGGTTTAAGTGACTGAAGGGAAGGAAAGCAAGCAACTTTTTGTGAATGGAAGCTGCAGATTCCATAACGCTGTTATGAAACTTAAGTATGACTGGTTCAGACAGTTTGTAATGTAGGGACAGTCTTCGCTGCGTTGGGTACATTGAAAACTCTGATTATGAACAATTTCACTGGTGCGTGATTTTGTTTCCAAAACCCCTGTAGCTCACTGTATCCACTGTGGATACTGCTTGTGTTTTCTGCTTAAGTATCGATAAATGCATTGGGTTTTTGATTCACCTTCAAATAAGCTTCGTAATATTTGGCCAAAAAAAATATACAATTTTATTTTTACCTGATGAATAAGCTTGAAGTCACTAAAATACTGTTATGAAATGGTGAAGAGCAAAATACAGATATTAATTTAGAAACGTGTCTAAAATATCAGAATTTATTGATGTTCATAAATGTTGCAAATAGTGTTAGGAAATACAGTGTCAATGTGATACATCTGTGTTGTTCTTTATTAGTATGAGACCCCAGTTAGAGATAAAACTTGACCAAGAGCAATACACAGATTTTGCTTTGAAAGCCTGTCACTGTTCCTGATACTTAAGCAGGAAGGCAAGGACTAAAGGTGGATGTGTGTCAGGTGTAATTTATCCTGGCACTTAAATCCAGAGGGTGTGTAAATATTGATCAAATACCTTACAAGCAGAACAAACCCCAAAACTTTGTTTTCTTGCAGACAATCGACAAAATGGTCAACATTAACATCATGTCTGTTTGTAAGGTAAGTGTCCTGTTACCAACACTTGTTCTTGATGTCTTAATTAAAAACCAGTAAACAATTAAAATTCAGTTGTCTGAAGCAATTTCTTTCACCTGCTGGACAACAGGTTCATTTTTCATCTTACAGTAACACAGGGGTCATGATGGTTGTATCAGGCTGGTCTGATTGTTGGGTGAAATAGAATTTGTTGCAAAGGTACCTATTAGCTATTTGGAAGAGCATGGTATGTACACAAAACAACAATGTTTCTTCATGCTTGTTGTTCTAGTCCTTGTAAATCGTTCATTCTTCTCCCCCTGTTATCTGTGTTTCCTGGGGTGGGCAACCCTTATCTCTGCACACCCAAGGTTCTTGAATGCTGTAGTGAGAAGGTGCTTAAATATTTTCTGTGAAACATATGGGCAAGAAGGAAAACCAAGTTCACAGAAGTGTGCATTAACGTTCGAAATAAAGTTATCTTCCCTTTATGAAATTTAAACAGAAGTTTTAATTGAGAAGAAGCCAACCTGATTTCAGGCTAAAACATATGGCTGTTCCGTTGTTTATTAACATGAGGCCCATTCAAAAAGCCTGATTTTCGTCCTAGTATTTCAAAGACTAAAAGGGGCAGAGGGAGTAGCAGCCGCTTATATTGCGTAGGGAGTCAGTCAGTGTATTACCAGTGAGTGCTGAAGAAACTGCTTGTGATTATTCACTGCTAAACCTTAACTTTCTCTTCTGTAGTAGTAAAACTTGCCTTTCCGTTAGCTGAGGATTAACCTTTTCCCCCCAAAGCCAAAATATTAGGTGTTTCAAAGCTGGCTTGAAAGATTTGTCTGTCTTGCAGCTGTTTTGATTAGGTTCGGTACTAAATTAATCTAGTACGGTGCTCTTCGGGAGTGTAAACTGCAGGTGTTTCATTTCAATGTGAGGAGACACAGGACCTCTTAAAACAATGCTTCTGTAAGATTTGTACACCTTATTAAAACAGGCAAGCAGTGATAATGCAACCGTTGCATGACTGAATGGGCCTGTTAGTGTCAGCTCACTGCTGTTAACTCACTTTCATGTGTGTTTTATTCAGTGTCTTCTAACTTTGCAGCAAGTAGTTCTAAATGCTACAACAGTGAGTCTTCAGAAAGTTTTCACCTTGAAAATGTCTGCTAGCCTGATGAGTACGTATTTTTAGTTGACCAAGAAGGATTGTGGCCCATGGTGTCTTGTTGGGCTCCTGCAAGATTTCATCAGAGAGGTCAGTTATTAATGGGCACCTTTGAAAGTTTTCTCTTATGGAAGTCATTTAGCAGGCTTTTATTAATAATAACAGAGCTATGCCAGGCGTAAATCTGAAGTGTTGTCATGCGTAGTCTTCTGAGTTGGAGATGAGTGTAATCAGAATGCCTCTGCAAAGGTGTGACATCTGTGCTGTGCCAGCAGAGGGAGCGCACTATTCAGTAATTAAAGAATTCGGGGTGTCAGTCTTCCTGGGAGCATTTTGTTAGAATAGAAAAGTTACAGATGAACTATTTTAATATGTATTTCTGAAGATGGCAGGGTAGAATAACAGTTGAGGTCTGCTTTAACTCGGTACACACCCAAAATTCCAGAGATGCAGACAGGTTATATTGGTTTCCAGAATACTCTAGCGCTGCTTTGTGGCATGAGTCATTGTGTCTATGCTCAGTGGTGGTCAACAATTTAACAAAACTGTCACAGTTTCTTGTAAAACTTGCGTCCTGTCAGCCTCTTCACATTCTGACATGGTTGTCTTCACACGTATAAAAACATAATGAAGATCTACTTGCTGTGTTTTAATAGCGGTTTTCCTTCTGTTTGAAAACTTTTTCGCTGCTTGTGAACAGCTCCTGCTACTGGGTGTAATCAGAGTTTGAGCGTAAGCTTCCAAGCTTGAAACTGCTTCCCCCTGCATGAGCCTGTTGTGTAATTAAACAGTAGGCATGCCAGATGCTTACTGTTTTGGGGAGAGGAGCACATTAGAGATATGTGCCATCTGTAAGTCTCTTTTTTTTTTTTCTTTTTTTTCTTTTTTTTTTTCTGGGAGAACCCACAGACCTAGAGAATCATGGTAGCAAAAGATAATTTTAGGAAAAGTTTGTATGACTTTTCACTTCTTCTGGGACATAATCTTGTGAATATTTAAGTATTTAGGTTGATACCATCTCTTATCCAGGTGTATAACTGTGTTTAAAAAAAAAAAAAATGTTCTCCCTTCTTGCCTGATTGAAACCATGAAGTTTGGGATGGAAGAGAGTACAGAGTTCTTAAGGAAGGAGATGAAGGTCTGCTGAAAAGATGAAGGTACAGGAGAGGCAGAGCAGGTTTTGCTAGGACCTATTTTGGGCTCTTATCACAGTATCTCTAGATCCTGGTCAGAGGTGTCATGTAATCTGTCTGCTGTTGTATTCTGGACCGTTGCCATCTATTTCCTTACCTTTTGGATCAAAATTCTATAGTGCTTTAAATGTAACGATATCCCCCGTCTTCTCAGTAACCTGCGCCATGTGCCATCAGCAACACCTTTGCTGGCATACGTGTCAAACACCTCCACTTCAGTTCTGGCTGAAACATTCCTTAACCCTTAAAGTGGGAAAGCCAGAATGCTCAGCACAGTTCGGTTCTGCTGAAGCATTAAGGTCTGTTTTGCTGCCACAAGTGTAGGCGTTTTTGAAGGGTAAGGCATGAGCGCTACCCTTACTTCTTGATCCATCTTTTTCTTTGTTGGGCAGCTCATTTGATTTCCCAGGGAAAATGCAGCATGTAAGAAGGGATGCACTGAGAGATAAGACCCCATCTTCACTTCACAGGATAAATTATCGACCTGGTTGGTCCGGCTATTTAATGCTTTTCTGAACTGTAAAGGATCTAATACTATGAAATTTTCCCTCGTGTTTGAGAACTTGTTTCCCGTCAGAGCTTTTAAACACCTGTCTTACCCAAATCTTATTCCATGCTGCCTGCCCTCATCACGTCCCTGGAGAACTGTTGGGTTAGGTCACCCGTGAATGCCATGATGGTGCAATTTTGGGGCTCAATCAGTCTGGCCTGAAGTGTTGTGATTACTGTGATCTGCCTTCAAAGCACCCTGTACACCAGTGAAGGCAAGCTGTGTAAAACACATTGGAAACCTCACATCTTGTAAAATAGTGGTTAAAAAACCTGACCAAATGCCACCCTGCCCCACCATTCACAGTAGATTCTTTAAGCTCTCTGGGAAATGTCACATCTTTATGGTGATGTGCAGTGCGGGATTTACTCCATTCTTCATATAATATACAAAACAGAAAGTGCCTTGGGTCCTGATGATGCCACAAATAGAATGAAGAATTTTTATTTGTGGTATTTTCTCAGGAAAGCTTGAGACATAATACAGCCTTGCACAAGGATTGAGTTGACAGATAAATGAGGAAGATGGAGTAGTATGCAAAGTTTCATGATTCCTGTCATAATCTCATCTCAACCTTCTGGAGGGATTTAAAAAGCAGAACTTTTCATTAGTGATTGTTGGTGGCAGTTCAGGTAACATTGGTTTGTATAATAATTTTTTGATATATCGTTGCGTTTTGAGACACGAAGTAAATCTATTTCTGACATTGAATAAAGTATCAGGTCAAAAGCCCTGGGATTTTTCACTAACCAGCAAGTGTTGAAGAGCCAAAATTATAGTTGGTCTGTAGAGTTTTCATCTATAGTTCCTCTGTACCAACTGCATCTTGTTGTGTCAATTCACCTTGGTGTGCTACAGCCTTTGATTTCACCTGGAAAAACAAATTTCATTTGGCTGTTGGATTAATGTTCTGAAAGCCAAGGATGGTAGACTTGCTGTCCAGTGGAAAAAATTGATAGATAATGAGCATGGAAAAGTTTCACATACTTCTGGGAGCCCTTCTTTCTCCTTTGGAAGCTGCAAGAGATACTTTGTATGTAAGGTACAGCAAGTATATTATTTCTGTTTACAGCATCCAATATGATAATTGCATTGGGCATGAGGCATAAACTTGTGTTCTCTTGAAGAATGACTAGGACTAAATAGTTGAGGGAGTGCTGGCTTAGTGGTTGACTAAGCAAGGAGCTGAATGGATTTGCAGGCTGTTATGTTGTGGGGGAATGTAAATTTTAGGCTTGTAGGCCAGGCTTTGGCTGGAAATTGGCATTAGCAGAGGAGGGGGGAGAGTAGATTACATATATGTACATGCCTTGGTATCTGTGCAAATCTTTGCATTGATCACCTTACGTTTTATACTGAGTGTCAAATACAAAGGGATAATAGGCCTACGAGATAGAGGATTTTTATCATTGCCGTATTTGAGAAGCTTATAATTTGCTTAAGACGTCAAAATACGTAAATGCTTTGTGTTGAACTGAGAGATCTAGTGCCATCTGCCCTCTTAAAGGAAGAGGACCAAGAGGTGAATTATACCAGGTTGTGAATCCTAGGCAGGACAAGGGAACAACTCTACCTAGAAAGTCTGAAACAGTGAGTTTAGGAAAAAAAAAAACCAACCAACAACAAAACCCCCAACCAATATAAAATTGAAAGAGAGAGAAGCAGCTAGTGTATTTGGGAAAGAGGGGGAATATTCTCTTGCAGACCTGTGCATAGAAAGAACAAAAGCCTGGGGAGCAATAGTCCTGAGAGACAGTAGGACATCTCTCTTTCTCTGTCTCCCCCATGGGTGTTCAGATGGGCTAGTGCAGCCTGACACCACGTCTGTAAAAGTACCTTACCAGAAATCAGATGATAGTTGCTTATGCCCTGCTAGAATCCTGTGTGAATTTTGGTATTTGCTGTGTATTTGAGAGGATCACAATAAGTGGAACGTAATTCTGAGGGAAATGGCAACGCTGACTTCTGAGGAGAGATCACTCTGTGCATTCCAGTCTAGTCAAGAGGTTTCTTTTCACTTATATTCAAAGTCATCATCAAAGGGGGATGACGATTTAGCCAAGTACATAATTTAAGTTTATGGCAGAGAGGGACAGTTGCCAAAGCTTGGAAGAGG